GATCAATAACAACCATTAGTTACATTATCACAAGATCCAGAACACAAGTCAAAATTAAATCAATATTTGTTAACATTAACTGAACAAGCAAAAGTCAAAATATTAGAACAACAACGAAAATATAAAGACCGTTATGATCGATATCGTGCCAATCCAACTTATAAAGTCGGTGATCTCGTCCTCATTAAAACATTAAACAAGCGAAACAAATTCGACATACGATATGAAGGACCCTTCAAGATTACACAACAACTTGGAAGAAAAACATTTATCGTACAACATATTAAGAAGCATACATTAATACGAAAAGTTACAATAGATGTCATTATTTCCTTATATGAACGAAAATATATGGATTAGGTATAAGTTGGATTAGTAACGTGAATTAGATATAGTCACCTTGTCGTTATCGGTACCGGACGTATACGCATCATCGACTATTAGTCTTCGTCTTTTCTCTTCTCTTGTGATATACTTTCTTTTCTTCCCCACATTTTGTTTGATCATATACATCTTACGAAAACACTTTTATCTTTCCTTTCTGTTACGATTCACATTGTTTTTTTTCTTTTCCTTCGTCTCTTCAATATATATACATATATAAGGTCATTTCAACCAACAAAATCTTCGGTACAAATTGAATACATAAAAGTTGAATATACGTATGAATCTTACATAGATTCATGAAAGCAACAACCATTCTGAGAGAACTGTCCATGAGAGTCCTGTATATATTTTTTTGCTTCAGATATTTCAGATATATTTTAGCTCACGACTATTTCTCTACGTACCGTAAGATATATACATATATACAAAAAAAAAAAATTTTGTTTTTCATTATTTTCTTTTGTTTGTTTTACTTATCTTTCTTTGTTTTTTTATTAACACACAAAGATGAACTTTTCAAAAAAAAGTTCATGTTCAACACATCACAAGCATCGTTATGTACCACCATATGAACGATTATTACGAAGAAATCAATTATGGAAGTCTCAAAAGGTGAAACAAGAACAAGACTTACAAGAAGAATGTCGGACAGGAAAATTAACACCATTTCAACAACCTCAAAATTATTTATGTTATTTTATACATGAACAAACTGATATCTTTAAAATGGACGAATTATCTATTGGACTTAATGATCAAGCAACGGTGGACGAAGTAGAAAAATTATTACATGATCGGATGTTTACAAAACAACATTATCATCGTTTATACAAGTAATCGATTTATATATATATATATATTTCTTTTTTTTGTATGTTGTTGAACATGTGTATGTTTTCTTTTTGTTGTTTTCTTTTATGAACATTATTTTGTTTTCTTTCGTTCTGTTGTTTTTCTTTCTGTTTTTTTTATTTCATTTATTTGTGCGGACACTCATTTTATTTTTGGGGGGTCGACTGTTAGAGGATAACCCTGAAAATACATTCTTTTTTTCGTGTCTCTTTTCTTCTTGTTAGCTATTTCTTTGATATGATATATCTCAGGTCATTTTTCTTTATTCTATTTTGTCCTTACGT